GTACAATTTTCATCAAGAATTCTTCGTGACAACTTCCTCGCTGCCTGCCGTGTACCTAAAAATTTAAATTCAGAGAAGTTATCGATTTCTGGACCATGGCATACTATATATGTAAATGAGCATTTGACATTAAAAAATAAGATATTATTTCGTGAATGTCGAAATGCAGCTAAAGCTAATGAATACAAGTATGTGTGGGTTAAGCATGGAACTATATTGTTGCGTAAAAATGGTAGCTCGCCAGCTATGGCAATTCGATCTTTGGATAATATCAAAAAGATTAAATAGTTGTGTTATTACATAACAGGTTAGACTTAAAACGAATAGTATTTAACATTGTTCTAGTATGTACTCACTCCCCTTTCTCTATTATACTTTATTTTGTGAGGTAAATTTAATTAAATATCAATTTGTAAATATTATAATTTTGCGGGTAAGCACAAGTACGTCGGGTCTTACGAATGTTGTTTACATGTTATTTAATATACTAAGAAGTTGGCTGTTGATCATAGCGGGCAAAATATTCTTTGTTTATGTTTTTACTCGTAATATTAAGGAAATAATTATTATAACTGTTGATGTCTATTTATTTATAGGGTTACATATAATTCAATATATTATTTCAGTAACAGTAAAATTTCTTACATTTAAAAGTGGATAGCTTGTCTATTTACTACCAAAACTGCCGAGGGCTTCGGACCAAATTACATACCATATATACGAACATTCTTTCTCATGCATATGATGTAATTATTTTAACGGAAACATGGTTACATAGGCATATTTCTGATAACGAATCAATTGATACCAGATATACTGTGTATAGATGCGACAGAAATCGTAATGTGTGTGACCGGAGGGACGGTGGGGGAGTGCTGATAGCGGTACGCCGTACGCTTAGCGCTGTCGAGGTCCGGACTTCTTTCTCTGCGTCCGCACTTTGCCCACTGATAGATTACGTTACACTTGAGATTAGGGGTTCCAAAAAACTATCTATTAAATGCTGTCTATATTGCGCCTAACCAAAAGAGTGATGTATACTTGAGCTATATAGAATATTTGCCTGGTATAGTTAACCAATACCAATTATGTAATAATTTTTATCTAGTAGAAGACTACAATATGCCATCTATAGATTGGAATGATATGGATCTTAATTTTGAAACTAATTATTTTTCCGATATATCAATTTCACGTAATAGTTTAATAAATTTTATATCACTTTATAATTTTACACAAATTAATACATATAAAAATTCAAATAATGTTATTCTAGATCTATTTATTACTAACATAAATGACTATATATTATTTCCAGCCCCTATTCCATTAGTAAGTACTGATAAACATCATCCTCCATTTTATGTAATAGTGCCTTTTGCCGAGAAGATACGAGGCATGCCGATTAAACACACACGTTACTGTTTTGAAAGTGCGGACTACGTATTGATTAATAAAGTAATATTAGATACTGAACGGAAGGCTTTGATGAAAGACGACGTTTCTGCTGAAGCTGCTGTGGACTTATTTTATAACGGAATATATGCAAGTATATAGTAAGGAAAACTGTAAAAAACAGCAATTATCCTAAGTGGTTTGATTCATCATTGATACATATCTTCACAAATAAAAATAATGCTTGGGTTAAATGGAAAAAGTACGGAAATTTATCAGATTATAAAACATTTGCATTGTACAGAAAACGTTTTAAAACTGAATCTAAATTACGTTATGCTCATTATATGGATACTGTCGAGAATTGTGTAAAGCAAAATATTAAATATTTCTGGAAATATGTAACAAATTGCAAAAGCAGCCTAGAAACTCCGTCAGAATTTTTTTTATAAAAACAAATTTGCTAGTAACCCCAAGGAAGTATGTAATTTATTCTCTGATTTTTTCTTTTCGGTATTTGAACCCACTTCAGTCACTGACGGTTTTAATTATGATAACATCAATATACCAAATAATAACAATTCTGATTTCGTTATTACTAACATTTCTATTTTTGAAAAAGATGTAACAGAGTCCCTTTTAAATTTAGACGCGAATAAAGGAGCTGGTATTGACAACATTCCACCTTATTTTCTGAAAGCTACAGCACATACTATTGCAAAACCAATTCATTACCTTTTTAATAAATGCTTAAAAGAAGGGATATGTCCATCTATTTGGAAAACAGCTCGTGTTGTTCCAATTTACAAGGCAGGCTCAAAAAAAGATGTTGAGAACTACAGACCGGTATCGATTTTATCAACACTCGCTAAAACTTTTTTAAGGTTAATACATAATTCGTTATATCCTAGTCTTCACAATATAATAATTCCACAGCAGCACGGTTTTATTAAGAAGCGTTCAACTATATCTAACTTATTAATTTATACAAACTACTTACTTGAGAATCTGGATAGTAACGTCCAGACTAACTGCATATACACAGATTTCCGCAAATCTTTCTATCGCGTAGACCATAAATTACTTCTGGAAAAGCTAGCCTTTAATGTATCCGTGGTAATTTGTGGAGATGGTTTAAGTCGTATGTGACAAATCGTACACAAAAAGTAGTTATAAGAGGTTTGTTAGGAGGTCAGATATTGTGCATATAAGTTCTGGTGTGCCACAAGGATCAATATTAGGGACTCTTCTTTTTGTCCTGTACATTAATGATGTTAATAGTTGTTTCAAGTTTTGTAATTTTATTCTGTACGCAGATGATATAAAAATTTATCGCAAAATTCAATATTATCATGACCACCTTAACTTTCAAAAAGATTTAGATAATTTTACATCTTACTGTAAACACAATAAGTTAGATTTGAGTGTTAATAAATGTAAAGCCATAACGTTTACACGTAAGCGACAGGAAAGTAATTTTAATTATTCTTTATGTGGCGTCCCATTAGAAAAAGTTCATAAAATTAAAGATTAGGAATAATATTAGATAGTAAACTTATCTTTGATACACATGTTGAAAACGTCATTAATAAGGCTCTTAAAATGTATGGTTTCGTGATGCGTATTGGACGTGAATTTAAAAAAACCTCTCACTTATTTGCACCTCTATAAATCTTTAATAAGATCACAACTCGAATATGCGGTAGCTATTTGGTGTCCGTATTATAATAAATATATAGATAAAATAGAATCCATTCAGAAAAAGTTTTTGCGTAGTGTTACAAGTGCAGACGAGTTAAATTACCCTACTATCAACTGCTGGTCGAATATAACTTACTAAAATTAGAATCCAGACATTAACAGATTCAAGGTATGTTACTATATGATATCTGTCATAACAGGTACGATAGTATAGAACTGGTTGAGATGATACAATACAGAGTACCATATAGGCCATTGTGTCGCAGAGTTCGTACTAAATATACATTTTTTACTAATAAATGTCGAACCAACGTAGTTAAAAGATCCCCTATATATATGTTGTTAAATTGTTATAATAATACTTTCAATAATATTGGCTATTTTGCTCACAAGGTGGGTATTTATAAAATAGAATTACTTTTTTTTATTACAATTATTAGAATTTTTTCTTCATTATTGTGTTAGTTGAAAACACAATCATTGTATTAGATGAAAAAATTGTACGCTATTCTCAATCTCAACATTTGTTAATAGTAATTGGTGGTCGACGGTGTTGGTTGCACTATTATATTATATTTGCTGTAGTGAATGTATTTTAGATTAATAAATATTGTGTAAACTGTTTGTTGATCCTAATAAATTAAAAAAAAGAAGACCATGGGTGCTGGAAAACATCCGAAACGTCAGATATTAAACGTAAAATCAAATAAATGAAACGCGATAAAATCCGTTAAAGTAGTTTAATCAAGATGTAGTATTCGCGTAAATGTAAGAAATAATTAAGAAATCGTTATATTAATTACATTAACATGACTACGATCTCAATTTTGTTTAGTACTTTTTTTATTATACCTTTCCAATCGCGGTTTGGCTTTAGTTATTAACTTTTAATTTATATACAAACCATAACTTACATATTTTTTCTATATGTATGTTATGGTGTGTTTTTAAAAATATATTCATAACATACATTAATTCAGCGACTTTATATTAACAAATTTTGAAGTTTCTGTATGAACTAAGTGATAGAACTCCACACTTCTGCCTGTGTGTTCCTTTGGGTAGGTACCGTACCAGGTACCTAGGTATCTAGTACCGGTATAAGTACACAAAGCATCTTAATCCATAGAGGTGACAATGACGTAGACTTATATATATATATATATATATATATATATATATATATATATATATATCCATATCCTATTACACGAATAATCTGCAATCGGTGTCGATCATTTAAGTATTGAGTCTCCAACACGTGCACGTTGCAGGCGTCCTGGTGCATGTTGATTGTGGCCTCGTCCTAATTACTCCATCGCCAATCTAATGTATACCATATCTGTGATGAGCACCCACTGGAGCCCGTGGACACCTGCACCAACTACAAGTTAATAATGCTACAGATGCGTTGTTCCAACCGAAACACAGCAGTTCGCTGCAACAATCAATATAATATTAAATAATACACTTGTTGGATACAAAGCTACTAGCGACTTCTCCATCTAATCGTAATTAAATACAGACTGCAAAAAAAAAACAACACTTCATTTCGCTTTTAATTTCGCTTTTAATTAACCGTAATTTAAATATCATGAAACAGTTAAAACTTGTAAATAGTTTACATATTTTAACGTTTAACTATCAAGTCATAAATCACAATGTTAAACTTTACATCTGCCATTTATTAATATAATAATTATAATTCATAAGCATATTTATATTTGGAATAAATTTGTCGGAAGACATTTACCTCTTAGAGATGTGTTGTCACGCCTGCCCTGAGGACTAAGGTAGAATGCCTCGTATCCAGTAAAGAGGGAAAATATTTGGAAGAACATTTATGGAAGACTTTTATATCGATTTCTCTGTCTTATATAAATAAAAATATTCTGTATTCACAGGTGGTCGTGGGATGCTCGGGCGACTTGTGTCCGCGGGCTATGTCGATGGGCGCGTCGGTGGCGTTTGACCGTCACGCTGCTGACTACGACCGTCTGCTGGAGGAATCCGGCCCGTGAGGATGTTTTTATACACATTTTTAGTGTTAGAAGTGAACATGTTCTGAAACTAGCGCTTCTGTAGCAAACCGGTTCAGTGAAGTTTTAATATTTACTGCTATTTGAATAACCTCTTGGGAAAAATCAGTATTTAGTTATAGGGAACAATTATTGGAAACATTTCCTATTCACGCCGGCTCCTTGTCTTCGGTTGGCGTTCATGAAATACGCTGGTGCACATTAAGGAACTTTTGTATGGAAGCTTCGGAAAACACAAAGTTCAACGTACGTGTTTTAATCTGTTTTTTGATTGATTTTATATTATAAGTTAAATTATATTTATTTATTTATTTTTTATTCTGAACAATACAAACTGTGTTGAATAATTAAAATTCATGCAAAAAGTACAATTGAAAATATTAACTACAAAATTTACAACTATACAAAATTACAATAAAAATATGTGATTACAATAATTGGTATACAATTAAATTATATAAAATGTCAATAACTATAAAATTACAATAAAAATTTTCACCATATCAATAAAATTTAAAGTTTTAAATATCACACAAAAATAATAACTACATTTGTTACAAAAAAAAAATTCCATTATTTCTTAAAATGTTATCAAAAGTTCAAAACACATTGAATTGTATGTAATAGCATTAGCATGTAGAAACTCGTCAACACTATAACAACATTTATCCAGTAGGAACTTTTTTAAAGTATTTTTGAAGCTACTCTTGTATAACATATTTTTTAAATCAATAGGTAATCTATTAAACAGAAGCACTGATTGATAATGAGAAGAGTGTCTAGTCATAACCATACGAGGGATGATTTTATTATGAAAGTCTTTTCTCCTGGTGTTTTCCCTTATGGTTTTTTGGTCTATAGTCTCATAATCGCCAATAACTTTTGAAAATTGTGTAAGTAAGACCAGTATATACAGGCATGGAACAGTCAAGATTCCAAGTCTTTTGAAATGCATGCGACATGATTCTTGCTGTTTTATCCCGACCATGGTTCTGATTGCCCTTTTTTGCAGAACAAAGGCTTTGTGTACATTATATTTAAAGCTCCCTCTCCAGAATAAAATACTGTCTAGTCTTGACTCCACCAATGCGTAATAAATCAGTTTCAGTTGTTTAAGATCCGCTTCATCCCGTAAGCTTCTTAGTACGTAACAAGCTGAGCTTATTTTACTTTCAATCCCGTCTAATTCATATTTCCACTTTAATTTACTGTCTATTCTGACGCCTAAGAATTTAGCCACTTCTACAGATTGTACTGTTTTATCACCTAGTGGGACCTGCAGAGATGTGTTATTACTGACGTTATTGCGGAATAACATCACACTTGTTTCATTAGTGTTGATCGACAAGCCGTTGACAGTAAACTATACTCTAAAGAATTCCAATATTTGGTTTAATTTAATTTCTAGTGCCGCTATTTCGGAGGCTGAGATAACAGCATTAGTGTCATCTGCAAAGAGGACTAGGTTTTTCAAGTCTGTCGTTCTACGTACATAATGGTTTAAATCATTTATGAAAGTAATAAATAATACGGGTCCTAAAATGGAGCCTTGAGGTACACCCAATTTAACATCAATCATTTTGGACTTCGTCACTATTTCAGACATATTATCGTTCACCGTTTTTATTTCTACGAACATTTTTCTGTTACTCAAGTAGGATTGACATAGTTTCAGAGCCTGTCCTCGAACCCCATAATAGTGCAATTTTCCCAAAAGAAGATCATGATTGATGGTATCAAACGCGGAGCTCAGATCGAGAAAGAGTGCAGCTACCTTAAATTTGTTATTTAATTTGTCAATGACATCATTGAGCAGTGTGTCTATTGCGTCCTGTGTTCCGATGTTGTTTTGATAACCAAATTGTCCTCTATCAATAACCTTGTTTAAGACTAAGAAGAAGTAATGAAGATATAGGTCTGTACATCTTGGCATCCGATATCGAGCCCTTCTTGTGAACAGGTACGACTTTGGCAACTTTCAGTTGATCTGGGAAAATGCCCTCCTTTATGCACTTATTAAAGAAAGAACACAATGGTTGAGCGAGAAGATCTATATTATCCTTTATTATAGTAATAGGAATATCATCAAAACCGCAAGATTTCTTGGCCTCCATTTTTTGTGTGATCTTTCGTACTTCTTCTACAGATGTTGGTCTTAGTGTCATAACGTTTTCGACTCGACTTATAATACATTTAAGGTATGTTAGTGCAATCTCAATATCAACTGGAACATTATTGATACTATGATCGAACTGGTGAACAAAGGTATCAGCAATTTGAACTAGTTCGTGAATAATATTTTTGTCTACCTTTAGCATTAGTTGCGTTCGTATTTTTCCCGCTAGGTTTCTATGGCTGTTAATGAGGTTCCATACACTTTTGGATAAATTTTTGGAACGAGCGATCTCATTTTGAACTGCATATTTTTCTCCTTGATCTCAATCAACTTAATTTGCATTTCTCATCTTCGTCTTGCATTAACGATAAAGCAAAACATAATACTTTAGATTCTCTTTCAAAAGCTCCCACTCCGGACACCCCTGCTTTTAATTTTAGCCAATTTATAAGTTGTGATGTTAAGAGAGCCATAATGTCCATCCATTCAAATTCGATTGGTAGTGACTGCATTAGTCGGAAAATGGTCATCCCTCTCATTGATCTCCTTTTACCTATAATCACGTCTATCCTGAATAAATCACTGAATTCTGCTTTTTTCCCTTCAGCTTGGAAAGACGCATTTGTAGTTCCTCTTCCGAAAAAGTCAAATCCCTCTAGTTTTCCGATTATAGACCTATCTCTATTTTGCCTTTCTTTTCCAAAGTTCTAAAACGTCTTGTGCACAATCAATTAAGCAGCTATCTTTTAAAACACAATCTTTTAAATCCCTTGCAATCCGGTTTCCGTCCTGGCCATAGTACGACTACTGCACTTTTACAAATCACTGATGATATTCGGTATGGTATGGAGAAACAAAAGCTTACTATTCTCACGTTGCTTGATTTTAGTAACGCATTTAATACTGTAGATTTTGATATCTTGTTAAGCGTCCTACGCTCTCTCAACTTATCTCCAACTGTAGTTGACTGGTTTCGAAGTTACTTGTTTGGTCGCCGACAGCGAATTCAGGTGCAAGAAGTTTTTTCCACCTGTTACTACAGCTGCTGGTGTACCACAAGGTGGCATGTTGTCTCCTCTTCTTTTTGCAATTTTCATTAACTCTATAAGTCATAATTTGTCCTCTTCTTACCACTTGTATGCTGATGATCTCCAAATATATACTCAGTCCTCTCTTGTAGATCTATCTAAAGCAGTTGACACTATGAACGCTGATCTGACTTGTATTTCGAATTGGAGTAAATGTTATGGTTTAACGATTAATCCTAAGAAAACTCAGGTCATTGTCATCGGTAGTTCTAGATTAATTGGTAAAATTGACTGGTCTTCCCTACCCCCTATTATACTTGACTGCACTCTAATCCCTTACAGTAACAAGGTTAAAAACCTGGGGTTGTATCTTGACTCATGTATGTCTTGGACCTCACAGGTTAATGAGGTCAGTAGAAAAATGTTTGCTGCGAGCTCTTTACGTAGATTACGTTTTTTCTTCCCACAGCAACTAAAGTTACGCTCGCCTAGTCTCTTATTCTGCCTATCCTTGATTATGCTGATATTTGCTATCTTGACATTACCGAGGAGCAGCTTAATAAGCTTGAGCACATTCAAAATTTATGCATTAGATTTATATTTAGGCTTCGCAAATATGATCATATCTCCGAATTTCGCAAACAGCTCAAATGGCTCCCGATCCGCCTTCGCAGGAATACTCACATTCTCTCCGCGTTGTATAGTGTGCTGTTTAATCCTTCTACTCCTCTTTATTTAAAAAACCGTTTCCAGTATCTTTCTCTTACCCATAATCGGTTCCTTCGATCCTCCGTCAATCTTTCTCTCTCTACACCTTTGTACTCTTCTTCCTTTTTCAAGAATTCCTTCACCGTAACCGCTGTGCGATTGTGGAACTCCTTACCTCTCCATATTCGTCGTGCTAAATCTCTTCACTCTTTCAAAATTCTTGTTAAATCGCATTATTTAGAACGCTATTAGATAAATTACTTTACCTTTCTCTAACTCTTTTCATTTAATCTATTATATGATATTTTATATATAACTTTCACTTACTTTTATTTGTATGTATTAATGTGTTTTATTATTATCTATTTGTAACTTTTGTTTGCATCATTCCTCTACGCAAAGGTTGTCTGGAAGAAATCACTTTCAGTGATAAGACCGCCTATTGTACATACTTTAATTAGTTTTAACTATATTGATGTTTCTGTATTGTGGTGTACAAAAAGAATAAATAAATAAATAAATAAAGATATCAAAGTTTTTATCATTAGGGGTGCGATAACAACAGCAAATACAAATATTAGTTTCTAAGTCCTTTACACAACATACTTCAAAGCTGTCCATTTTATATACAGATTTCGCTATAGGCAGATCTATTATATCTCTATCTTTGCTACATAGTATGAGTGTTCCACCCCTTTTTTTATTGACTCTTGTATTATGCGATACTGTTTTGTAATCAGTTAACGCTAATAACTCCACTAATTTTTCATTCAGAAAATGTTCACTGATACATAGATAATGATATTTTACTGTAAGGGAATTTATATATAGTTCTAACTCCAGGTTTTTGTTATTTATACCACACAAATTTTGATAAAATAAAGATTAAGTTCCTTATTATCTACGTTGTTTTTTCGCAATTCTAAATTAATACTATTATTCACGAAAAAAAGAATCACCAGTAGTTATTTCACACTGATCATCATCCGTTTGTGTACTGACAGAGCACTTTTGGTGCTGCTGCTCATCACGATTAGTAGCAGGATGGACCTCACGTGATTTCAACTTAGTCATGCAGGGTAATTTAGTCACAAATTTAATATAATTATCTTTATAAGAAATTCTT